TTATCATAAAAAATAATAAATAATCGATTACCTTTATCTTTTTGTAATGTAAATTTATATATAACAGAAGCAATATGTGGATTATAATAATAATTTTGTATTAAAAAATACTTGGTTGTTCGTAATTTAAAAATATCACTATAAATTCGATAAAATTCCCTATTCACAAATTTTATAATCTTGTATTCTTGATCAAATAAAGTTATTTTTAAAGGTAAATAAAACCCTATCATATCATAAAAACAATCATAATTTAACTTGAGTATTAATTGTTTATTATTTTTGGGTTTTTTTCTTGAGCGTTTTTCTGATTTTACCTTTGGCATTTTAAAATAAATCAATATGTAATATTTGTAAAAAAAAATCTTTATTTATATCTTGATCGAATTAATAATTAATTTTACTTCTTCATATTTTTCTATTTCTATTTTTTTGATATTTTCATATTTTAAAGACATATCATATATTTTCTTTGCACGAATTTTATCAATATCATAAAAAATTATTCTTAAATATGTTATTTTTTTCAATTCGTTCATAATAAAAAAATAATCATTATCTTCATAATTACAATTAATCAATGTAAGAGCTCTGATATTTTGTATTCTAATAAAACTATTTAATGATATATTTACATAAACATCTTTCATTTTTAAACTCGTAATATTTTTTATATTTTCAAATTCATCTAAATCAAAATCTGTTTTATATAAAGTTAAATAAACTAAATGATTTTCTATATATATATCCAAAGACTCAATATTATAAAAACTATCATAAATATGAATTTTCTCAATTAAATCAGATGATTTAAATAATAAATCAACTACTATTCATACCATTATATCACTATCAGAAATCATAATATTAAATATTTTTTTAATTTGAAAAATATTTATTTTTCTTACATATTCGAGATATGGAAAAAAGGTTGAATTATAATCTTTTTTTGAAATTTTATCTTCACAAAAATATTTTTTTATATCTAAATCATGACAAATAATATTTATCAAAGAATTGATCTTATCATTATGTTTATAATATTTAAATGGATTTCTCCAAAGTATAGGAATTACATTAATAATCTAATGTTTAGATACTATGATACAATTAAACAAAGATATATTTGTATCATATAAATACAAAAATATCATTGTCATCAATTCATTAGATAATAACATTTTTTTTATAAAATTCATTTATTTAATCTTATTTAAAACATCTTATTTATATCTTATTCATATTAGTAATTGATCTTATATCTTATTTTTCATAT